GGCAGCTCCGTGCGCTCGGCTGCGTGCTGGGGGGCAGAGCCGGGAGCGCGGCCTTGGCGGGAGCTCCCGGTGCGCTGCAGGACGGCGCGGCGCAGTCAGGCTGCTGGCGGGCGCTACGGCACCGCCCTGCCCCTCCCTGTCCCTCGCACTGTGACTCACCGCCTAAGCAGCTCCGGTTTCCTCTGCTTGCCTCTCCCTTCCCCCATACCGGAGGCGGCACCGCGCCGCCCAGTGATGCGGCAAAAACCGGCGGCGGGACCGGGCCGCGCCTCGGGGAGTCTCGCACCACGCTCGGGCGTCCCCGGCCCGCCCGCTGCCGTGCCCGCGCGGAGCTGCCTCGGCCCCCTCCCTGCTCCCGCGCGTTCCCCCCGCCCTCCGGCGGGCGCTCCGTTCCACGTCTTGGAAGCGGGGCCTGGGGCTGAGAGGAACGGGGTCGAGGCGGGGAACGCGCGGGGCGGCGGCCGCCATCTTGACGGGGCAGCGGGCGCGGAGCTGCAGGCAGCGACGAAATGGTGGACGCGGCGCACGGGGCTGAGCTGCCACCGGCGGCTAACGGGACCGTGGTGGTTTCCCACATAATAACCGAAAGATACGAGAGGGATTTTCTTTTTAAGCACTGAATTACTAAAACGAATTCACTCAGATGCACGCATCGCTGTGATATTACTAGCTTAGCGCTCAGCGAGGATGGAGGTAATCAGCAACAAAGTATTGCACCAAACCCGCTTCAGTCTGAACATCCCGTGGGGTGCAAGGGCACGACGCAGCGTTATCCACAGCTCCTCGGTGTGCGTGTTGAAAACGCCCCGCTCGGGTGCCTGCCGAAAGGCTCCAGCCTGCACGGCAGCTCTCACGGAGCTGAGATGGGCACTGCGCTGAGCGAGGGCACGAAGCTCGGAGCCCCTCACCTCCAGCTGTGTGCCTTCCCTCTTACAGCACTACGGTTAGCTTTGTGCCAATGGGAAGGACAACGTGTGTCCTCTTCTTTGCGTGGCCTTTACATCGCTTCGTTTTATTTGTGTTTCCTGGGCTGTGTTTTTGTGTGTTACGATATGTCAGCTAAACGAATAAATAAAAATCCACGACGAGAAAGAATGCAGAAAGAAAATCATACATTCTCCAATTTTTCTTATTAGCTTATTAATTTTTTCAAAATAGAGTATGGCTTCTGTATTCTATATTGTCTTTACGATAGGAATCCATGACTATGCTTCTATGACTCAAGAATTTTAGATTGACAAAACAATTGTAATAACTTTTCTAACTTTTTCCAGTGTTCTGCTGGTTGTACTTCTCGTACTGTGAGGTCAGGAAACCTCACGTTTAACATGAGTAGTAATCTGCAGGCTTAATGTCATACGAAGTTTTGTGATTGATATAGTCAGTAAATTCCCTTGAAGAAATCAAAACTGTTTGCTTTATTTGGAGCAGCTTGACATCATATAATGGACTCTCCCTGAACTGACCTGAAAGTAGGGAACAGCTGCAAGTGAAAATGTATTACTCAAGAGTTACTGCTGGTGACAAAACAAATGATTATCCACTGTAAGTGTACTGCCTCAAATACAAATCCAGTGATCTTACAGTATAAACTATTTTAAGCTATTCTTCACTATAATTAATGAAATCTTCCCCCGATAGAGAAGTGTCTTCTAACAGCATTTGTTTTGTGTACTTACCTCAAGAATTAATTTGGCTTGTTATATCTCAGTGAAGCTTGCAATTCTTGTTTTGCAGGTTTCTCTTTCATATTTAGGCAAGGATAGTCTTGCAGTTCAACAACAAAAGAGAAAAGCATGACAGCTGTTCTCTGGTGCAGTCAGTATTTCCTATAGAAAACAAGGTAGACAGCAAAGAAGTTAGAAATGCAGTCTTCAGTTTTCTTAGGTACAAAGAAAAGTTTGTGTTAGCTCAAGAATCCTCCATTGTGTTAGCTCCGTCCAAAAATTCCAAACCTCAACACCAACTCAAAAACAGTGTTCAGAGGAGCTCAAGTGCAGTAATAGTTGATGGTAAATCCGCTGTTTCAGCAATATATCTTTCTTAATGCAGGCAGTTCTTAGAAGTGTTGGATAAAGAGCCAAATCATTTTAAATCACTTCTTGAAACCAGTGCTCTTGCATTGTTTTTCTCCAAATAGTTGGACATGGTGATGGAAAACTGTTTTTATTGCTGAGCAGTTGCCATTGCTTCTCAGCTGTGTATTTTTATTTTTAAAGTAAATATTACTTCATTTTGCACGAGGGAATTTTCAAAGCCAAAGATACCTAAAATAATCATTAGGAATTGTAAGTATTCAAAAGAGAAACATCTCCTGGAATGTGGCTTAGTTGAAAACAGCTTGTCAGCAGCAGTTTCAGAGCAAGCAGTATCTGTCACCTGTTCCTTCCCTTCCCCAGTCCCAACCATTCATTTTTCATGTCAGGAAGATAGAGCAGAGCAGGAATAAACAGTTATCTTTACACAGTTCTACTCCTGGGTGTTTTGTGCTGGCCTCTGCAGAAAATACAGTTTCACTGGTAGAACGATACCAAAGGGAGAAATTATTTGTTTTTGAAGATTGGTAAGTGACATTTTCTCCCTGTGATCAGTAGATTCCTTGTGACATTCTGTCTTACAGTGTCAGACATCTAAGAGAAACTTGTTTTACCTATCTTAAGCCCAGTGGGTCAGCAACATCCACAAAGACTCTAAAAAGAATCATATGTTGCTGAAAGAAACCAAGTGATTCTTCCATCCAGCTCTATATATTTATTTTTAAAAGCCAGTGGACAACTGGACACTGAAAGAGGTCTGATAAAACACCCAATGAAATCAGTTAGTGTGGAGCAAAGACAGACTCGACTCTGGTTAATACTTGTCTACATACATGGCATTTCACTGAGCTTCAATGGTAATCTCACAAGACTTCTGAAATACAGAAGACAGTCTCCAAGTCTCCAATACCTGAAGCAACAGATACTAGGAAAGATCTGCCTGCTTCTTTATAAAATATTTGTACTTCTATTCAGGCTTTATGGTTGAATTATTTCATGGTCTCATATATCATTACTTCATAATTTTAATGCTTATATACATGTTTTCTTGGTGAGTGTGTCAATTCTAAATTAGCCATATAAAGACTTCTACAGTAAAACTATTCCAGTTGAAGAGAAGTAATCATTCTGACTGATTCAAAAAGCTTACTTCAATTTATTATAATGAGCTGATGAGATTTCAAATAATTACTTAATGTTTATAATAATACAGAATGAGTAGTTAGTTCATGGCTATTGCACAGACAGATAAGCCATGTTAACCCAGAGTCAGAAAGAAAGAACTTCCTTTGCTAACTAAAAAGTCCAGCAACACAATCATCTTTCCATCATTTTCACATCATTTTCTTCTCTAAAGAAAATAAAACTCTTAAATACGCCTGGAGAACTGCTATACACTCTAAATATTTTCGAGAGATACATATATGCAGCAGGCCAGCTGCTCCCCAAGTGCAGGGAGGCAGGAACCAGGCATGATTAGTGGGTATCAAGGCAGGGCCAATCCCCGCAGCACGCAAGCAGGGCAGTTCCAGGTTGGCAGCTGGGGTCAGCCAGCAGCCCAGCTCATCCCACAGGCTCGTAATGAGGAGGCAGGTATGAGGAGATGCCAGGAAGTCAATCTGCAGATCAAGGTCAGGTCCAGTGACAGCAAGGTGAGATGCGGGCTGGTGATTGCATCCTAGTCCATGGTGGCAAAGGCAGGGCTGCAATAAAGCCAAGAAGACAGTCAGGCTTCGATAAGGGAAAACTGTGACCAGGTGTGGACATGGCTGTACCAAAGCTGAACGTGGAGCTGGACCAGCACACTCACAGCATGGCTCAGGAAGGGGTAGAAGACCCAGGGCTGTGATTTAAATGGGGTGTCTGGACACACCAGGAAAAGCTGGTTAAAGCAATTAGACTCTGTTAGTACACTCATGGCTCTGATATTAAATGTACTCAGTGATTCTGCTGTAAGATTTAGTACTTCAAGTGAATGATTACATTGATTTTTCGCTGATGATATAGATGAGTACATTAGCCAGACAAGTTTAAAGTTTAAAATTTACATGAAATTGCTAATTCAGAATGTTCTGTGGAATAAAAAAGTTAGATTTTAAAAGGAGTGAAGGAAGTCAGAAATCTTCAGGAGTCAGTTAGGGCAAATGTCTGAAGTAGTAAATCAATGTCACAGACAGAACCTATGAGGTCATATCCCACATAACCAATGGCCAGGGTATCAATCTGAGATACAGTGTGAAAATCTCTCAATAAAGTATTCTCTGAGCGTGTTCTTTGGCGCACACACACAAAATAAAATATTAAAAAAAAAAAAAAAAACTAAACTTTTTGTCCTCTTATTTTTTAAATAATCTATGTTGGTTCCAGACTGCCCAACATAAGATCTTGTGCTGTTTCCATTTTCAAGCTGTCACTTCATTCTGTCGCTGAGGCAATTGCACCACTGAGGCAACTGTTAATGCCTGTTGACCGAGATGTTAAAGGTGTTAAAAAATGCACTCAGATATGGCCTGTGTAACACGTGAAGTAACTGTTTAGTGCATGATGGAGCAGTCCTTGCTGAAGTACATCAGTGAGACCATTCACATAAAAAAGGTTGAAGAACAACCTGCATAATGTAGAGTGTAAAGGAGTTTAGGCGCTACACTGTGATAATAATAGCAGTGTTCATGCTCTTGATGGAGTTCTGGTATCACTCTAAAGCAGGATATTCAACTAAAAGGTCAGAATTTGTAGTGCTGCTTCTTCTATTTTTGGGCAGTGCTCTAAGGTTAAAACATTACATTGTAAAATCAAGGTCAAGAGGTACCCTTGATTGTACCAGCAAATGCATTGAAGCACGCTAAAGTGTATTATCAGCTGTCTCATCCTCAGGCATCTGCTGCAGTCAATCTGTAATGCTGGGTGGGTGCTTGCTTGCTTTCAAATGCCTTTCTCACTCACCCAGTTACTAACACAAGTGATTCTAAAACTTAAATGTTGCTGACTAGAAACTAGTGACAAGAGATCTGTACATGGTGTTTTATTCCAAATACAATTAAAAATATTAATTTAATGTGATTGGACTGTATGAGTCCCAAGTTTTCCATGATTTAGATCTCAGTTGAATGCTTACACAGTTCCATTTATGGGGTGATTCCTGATCTGTGGCTCCAGAAGAGAATCCGATCCAATTGCTGAAACTTCTCTTTTGTGAGCAATTGCACTGAACTGTGTAGAGTGGATTGTATAGTCTACATCTGAGATTCATAATCGACCCATGCTGTATCATCACATGTTTTTCTGCCAAGCAATTGTGTGGACAGCGGAGGTTTTACTTTGTTTAGAGGGCCTCTCCACGCAGCTATTCCAGTTAACTCTGGGGAAAAGATTCTTCAAACAAAAAGTAATTATCAATAATACAGCTGCAGCCCAGATACATGCAGACTCTAGAACAGCTTTTTTAAGATAGCAGGTGACAACTACAGGTAAACACTGGGTGTCCTAACTCGACTTGATTACAAGACAGCTAAAGCCTAGACCAGAAGTACAAAAACAAAGCTCCTTTGTCCCTTCACACTCCCACCTCTCCCCAGTATCAGATTCCTAACTCAGTTTGGATGCACCAATGCTCAGCTTGCGTCTAAAAATGAAACGAGCTCTTTATCTCTACTTGACCAGATTCCAAATGACTTCAGAAAGAGAAGGCTGAGTAAGGACTTGGCTGTAGCTGGATCAGACTGCAGTGTTTATTTATTAAATATATCCCATTTGGTGTCCTGTTTGCAGCCTGTCAAAGCAAAAGGGATTAAAATTTCTTTTCCCCCTAGATCTCATTACTGAAATAATTAGCAACTTTTTTCCCTCTCTACATTTTTGTTGGAACAATCTGTCAAGCAAGCAATTGAGTTTCTTTACCATACCATAATCTTTGCCAAGAAAGGTTTAGCAGCACAAAACTTTAATGGAAAATGCTACAGCCACATTCCTTTCAGACATGAATTCTATATAGAAAGATAGATATCTAATGGGAGAAAAAAATGTGTTTATGTTACAGAGATCTATCAGTTTTTCTTTGTTTTTTTTCCCCAGTATGCTGTTTTACGTGAAACAGTACAAAGTATACATGAAAGAGAGCTAACTGAATTTATCCACCTCTTACTGAAGTGTGGATATAAAAATGCCAGCATCCTTTCAACTTCACTAAATATTAAGTAAAAGTACAAGCATAATTATAAAAAATACTCTTCTGGTAACCAAATTAAAAAAGATGCTTGCTTTCTGTGGAAAGCAAGGATAGGGGATATGTATTGGGAAGGAGCAGCGTGAAGTCAAGGCTGAAATTATCTAAACAATGTAAACCTTATCAACAACAGAAAGATAATTGAATTCCGTGTTATTTTCAACCAGCTAACAAATGAAAACTATCAGGCCCTACCAACAGAGATGACAAACAGTTTTGTAGTTCCTGGAATATTTTTAATGTGCTAAAAATAGGCATGTCTCGCTTTAACTGCATGAGAAACTAAAAGCTGAGGATGAGTAAAAGATCATAAAAAGGTGCATGGCTTGAAGGTGGAAAAAAGCATCGGAACAGACAAATGAGAATGAAAAGTTACAATAAAGACATGTATGTTAAGTGTTGTACAGACCTGAGCTGAGGTGGCTTAAATTACATCATAAGAAGTTAGAGCAGAAATACCAGTGGGGCAGTGTTAAAAGGTAAGAAAAAATCCCAGATACGGTAGGGTTCACCAGCAGTGCAAACACGCTGTGGTTGGAATTGTTAAAGGTGAAGGTTTCCAGGTAAAAATGCTTGTAATTAGTTCTGACTTGCACTCCTTTCATGACAACTTCATATGATTTAGATAATTGTATAATAACATAATTTATTTTTTTTATAGTTTTTATAGTTTTTTATATTTTTTATTATAGTTTTTTGTTAATAATACAAAACTTAGAGATCTAATTGTTAGCTTCAAGCAAAAAAGAAAATCTTCAGTTTCAATGCGAGCTATTCTTTTATTGGGACGTTCTCAAGTTGTTACAATGATTTCAGAGGCCTACTTCCTCCTAGGATAAATTGTCCTGGAAATCACAGAATCACAGAATGGCTTGGGTTGGAAGGGACCTTAAAGCCCAACCAGTTCCAAACCCTGCCATGGGCTGGCTGCCACCCACCAGCTCGGGCTGCCCAGGGCCCCTTCCAACATGGCCCTGGGCACCTCCAGGATAGGGCATCCACAACTCAGTTAACAATTTGAGTTCTGTTACTGTGAGACACACAAGTTGAAAGTGAGTTAAGACCATGTGTTGCCGTCATCGGAACTTTCATAATCTCAAAGGTTTTGACGTCTCTTAGATGTCTATCTGCATGTATGAATAGCTAACAGAATCAACACAACTCAGTGTAGCTAACGTGCTGCTTTTGAGACCAGTGGCTGTGTCAACGTAGCACATGTTCCTTTGAGAAGCACAGTCCTTGATTTTCATAGGTTTATCTCATCAGCCTCCAATATATGCACACAGAGCACTGTAACTCCTTAAATGTTGATTCAGTGGAAGCTGGTGTTTCCAACATCTGGCCTGTAAAGAAGCTGTATATTTCTGGTTATTTCTGTTTTGTAATTTTTTTATGCAGTGACATTTTGTTTCCCTTGAGCTTTTTTCTTCCCATCTGGTTTCTCTGGAGTGGCTGGAAAACCCACTTGCACATACTGCATGACTTCAGACTTACGCATACTGCACAAGTGTTGCACATAGGCTATGGTATGTAACTAAACACCTCGCTTGCTTTTAGCCACTAATGAAAAGTGGCTTTCATCACTCCATAAATAAATGAAAACAAGAAAAACCAAAAGGTTCTATTATGAAAATTACAGGATTAAGCGCTTTTATATCCAAACGTGGCACGAAGGAATAAAGAGAAAGATGTTCATTCTTGCATGTTCTCTAACTTGACTAAGCTGCATTGAGGGTGACGGAGCACTGGAACAGGCTGCCAGGGAGGTGGTGGAGTCTCCTTCTCTGGAGATGTTCAAGACCTGCCTGGATGCCGACCTGTGCGACCTGCTGTAGGGAACCTGCTTTGGCAGGGGGTTGGACTCGATGATCTCTGGAGGTCCCTTCCAACCCCTACAATTCTGTGATTCTGTGAAAGGAACAGAGGAGCTACTAGCCACTCTGCTGCTTAATCCTCATTCACACTGAGAGAAAGAAATAGTGCCCAATAAACAGGGACACCTGTTTGGCACAACTTTGCCTCAAGTATGTCTTTAATACTGACTTTTTAAAGCAAAATAAGAAGTCATTTTTTGAAGAGTTTAGCCTTAAAGTTAAGAGTGAAGGAGGAGTGAGAAACAAATCCAGGTCTTTCAGAACACTTGGGAATGCTGTGTGAATTGCTTGTTTCTTGCTTACTACATGAGCAATGACACCTCACGGTTTTAAGGCTTTTTTTTTCCCCCCAATGGTTCACAATTATTAATGAAACTCTACAAAATGTTGTGAATGAAAGAAGATAAACAGGATTGTTGCTGAAGTAAAGTTTCCCAGGTTGAAAACAGGATCTGCCGAAAAGCTCTGTTGATTCAATTTGGCCAGCATTTTAGGTTGTATTTCTTTCAAGGATTGAAAAAAAAAAAAAAAAAAAAATGGGAATACAACAATTATAATGTAGTTTTGAGGAGAGCTGTCAGCAAAGTTTCTTTCTTCAGTGTCAGAT